TCAAATCATGTACATTAGATCTTCTTCCTACTTATATTCTCGAAGAATGATTAGATTAAATTATTCATACTATTTTTTATATTGTAAATTCTTTATTAATTCATGTGTTATTCCTGGTGTTTTAAGTTAGCATATTATGTCATATTCCAATATCTTCAAAAATTATAAACCAGTTTCGAACCTTAGTTTCATTTCAAAATTACTTGAAAAATTAATTGCAATCCAACTAAAGAGTCATATAGAAGACAACTAAATCGATGAGCCATTTCAACGTGAATATAAACAATTCTACAGTAGGACACAATCTATTTTATTAGATGGCAAACTGTTTTATCTTTCGGTGTTCCACAAGGATCGGTTTTAGGTCTGATAAATTTTATATATACTCATTAACTAATAGCAATATTGTTGATAAATATAACCTTAACATTTACTTATATGTTGATGATACTCAGCTATATATTTCTTTTAACCCTATTTCATCTTTCGGTGTTCCACACGGATCGGCTTTAGGTCCGATATATTTTATATTATACTCATCAAATAATGGCAATATTGTTGATAATATAAACTTATCATTCACTTATATGTTGATGACACTCAGCTATATATTTCCTTTTTTATCTTTCACAAGGATCGGTTTTAGGTCAGATACATTTTATATTATACTCATCAACTAATGGCAATATTGTTGATAAATATAACCTTAAAATTCACTTATATGCTGATGATACTCAGCTATAGATTTATTTCAACGCTAAATATATATCTTCCTTTAACATATCTAAACAACAATTTGAAGATTAGTGAATAAAAACAATGGGTGTCTAAGAATTTTCTTAAATTAAATGACGATAAAACATAAAACTAATGGCAATATTGTTGATAAATATAACCTTAAAATTCACTTATATGCTGATGATACTCAGCTATAGATTTATTTCAACGCTAAATATATATCTTCCTTTAACATATCTAAACAACAATTTGAAGATTAGTGAATAAAAACAATGGGTGTCTAAGAATTTTCTTAAATTAAATGACGATAAAACAGAACTTCTTCTATTAGGTTCGAAATAACAATTAAATTTTCCATTCTTATAGGTGATTGTGATATTAACTACTGTTTTTTTTTAAGTTTAAATATTGGTGTGGTGTTTGATAATTTTATGACTGTGAAAGCCCAAGATTATCACATATCTAAAGTTTGCTATTTTAGTATTCACAATATTGGAAAAATACGAAACTATTTATCAAGAAATGCAACAAAAGCACTTATTAACTCCTTTGTGACGTCAAGACTTGATCATTTTAACCCTCTATAAGCTGGCTTACCCCTTAAACTTATTAACAAACTCCAACTACTACAAAATACTACTGCTAGATTAATAACCTTGAATAAATATACAAGTATAACTCCTGTTCTCTTTCAGCTGCATTGGTTGCCCATTATATATAGAATAGTTTTTAAGATTTTACTTTTAACTTTCAAATGCCTTCATAATTTAGCACCAAAGCATTTATATACCCCAGTCAGAACCCAACGTTCATCTGATAAATTAGTTTTAAAGAAAATACCGTAAATCTCTCTAGTTACGGGACACGTTCTTTACATTCTTATTTTTAAAGGCTTATAACAAATTTTAACTTGTCTATCATCTTTTTTGTATGTGTTTTTAGAAATAATTTAACTTTTTGACGTATTTTACGTTTTGAATGTATGGTTTTGTTACTCTGTAAAGTGCCCTTGAAGGCATCTGTGAAAGGGGCGCTATAAACATTTTGTAATAATAATAATGTAGGCGAGTTTGTTTGGAAGTGATATGTATTTTTTGTTAAAATTTTATTTAATTCTTTTCTTCTTCTAAGCTTTCTTTTTCTTGCTCCGCCATTGATTAATGTCAAAGTTGATTGATTCGAGAAGTTCCGATATCGCGCTAATATAAGGCGCTCCTATAAAATAATAGAAATCATTAATGATCAATACGCTGTCATTAATTGTTATCCTGTACGTCATACTTCAATGTGTATAACAATCGTGTATTTACTGATAATACACACCTTTTGACACCTAATTAACACGCGTACTGACAATTAAAAACATACACCGATTTATAGTAAATCACCGTCTACCCACACCCTGGTATACATCTAGTTTAGCCCATAGCCTACGTTTATAATTTTAGGAAACAATCAGTATTTTCGGCCTTTCAATTGATAGGCGTGTACGATGGTTGTGATTGATTCTACTGTCAAATTTGATCTACGAAATGAGATTTAATCTAATCCAATTGCGACAGCATTATACTTTATTGCTTGTCTGATCGGGTTCATATTGGAAATTAGATTTGTCGCTAATTTAGACACTTGGGCCCATGGGCAAGCAAGCAACCCAGCCCAAACCTCCTTTGATTCAGAATTTTAATGTAACAGGACAAACCCTAATAAAGGATCCCCAGTAACGTGGACAGGGCGATTTACCCCAATACTACCTCATTATTCTAAAAGATTATTTGGAAAAAAATGAGTCAATAAAAATTGCAAAAAATGTGATGGTCAGGTCAATGTATTGACATTCCAGTCAATCGTAAAATTTTAGCTAATTCTGCGAATTACCTTTTTTTTTCTTTTTTTTGTTGGTGGGAGGGGGCATAATTCAACCATTCGACCATACTATGAGGTAGTATGTGGCCGTATTTGGTAATATTTGGTTAGTATTGGGTAATATTGTGGGACCCCAATAAAAACCTTGTTGCAAATTCATCAGGGGACAAAAACACCCTAATGAGATATTAAAATTCAGGTGAAACTGTGTCTGAAATTAGTTTCATTAAAATGTCATGTAATACTAAGGTGGTAACATTATTATCTATAAACAATTGTAAAGGAGTCTATAAACCACTTCTAACGGGCGAGAACTCCTACTGAACATACCATGAAATCACCAAATTAATTCGACTAGACAGCGACACAAGGACGGACTTTTGAGAAGTGTATAAAAGACGAATGTACATTTCTTGTGATATGTGATCCTCGACCTTACACTTTCTTAATAGTTCTTAGGGATTAACTCTTTGTCATCCAAAGATTTCGGTCGTCTCAAGCCTAGTCGGCATTATTTATTACCCAGCCTAGCTCCAAAAATATATAAAGCCTGTTATCTCTTAGGCAGTATGTCAGGTACAAATTAGAGGGATTATTATCGGGATAAAATAATAGTATCTGGGACCCGATGCAAGTCTCTGATGTGTCATTTTCGAATTGAATTATAATTTTTTGTCGAACAACACTAAATGAAGATCTAACTACTTCCTGGTTAATTCTCCGCTGTAATTGGTTAAAATTAACCAAAGTATACGTTGATTGGCTGGATGAAAGATCAGGTTAGGTAGATTGAACTAAAACGTCTTAAAGATGTTGGTCTAGACCTTATTGTAGTGTAAAATTAAATATCCCAAATGAAAAATGAAATGTAGTTTAACTTCCTACTATTCTGCTCCGACTCGGCCAATGAGAACATTTTATCGGACGACGACCTACTCTTTTATCGAATTCCAACTGTCTCGTTCCCATCCGAACGACTGTAATTTGTCCCTTGTCAGATCTTTTGCCCTCTACCACTGCAGGGGCAGATCCGGAGGGGGGATTGGGGAGTCCAAACCCACCCTGCTCAGCTACGTAAAAAAAATTGAATGCCTTGCATCAATGAAATTAAATCACAATGTGTTTCCCTACATCATTACAAAAATGATTTCTCTCTTTAAAAAGCTCAATTTGTATGTATGCCTATGTAATTTAGAGACGATGATGACAGATGTCCTTAACAGGAACCTGGCAAACCCCCTCCTGCAAAAATTCCTGGATCCGCAACTGCACTGACAAGGGGGATATACAGGTCACAATTCTATGGAATACAATCACTGCTTATTACTGGGCGACGTTTCAACTATCATTGTTTGATAATGACTAGAGAAGCCTAGTCGAAACGTCGCTCAGTAATAAGCAGTAATTGTATTCCATAGAATTGTGACCTGTATATTCCAGTTCAATTACTAAATGCCATTGAAACAATTGACAAGGGGGAACCACATCTGAATATCACGATTAACTTTCTCGGTCAACGCAGGGATCGAACAAGTTAGCGAACCAACGCCCTACCCACTGAGCCACCACGGTTCCCCCCTAAACGAAAAGGAAACAGATGTGTAACGTTACATTTAGACTGATCTTGTGGCTTTTTAAAAATTCTCTTTTAGTACCGTAGTCTATGCTGTCATATATTGAAATGTATCAAATGGGATTATTCCGAATAGGAAATGAAATGGGGTTTAACGTCCTACTGATCTGCTCCGTTTAGGCTAATGAAGACAGTTACTTGACCTCACTCTGTTGTGCCTGAGTATATGGGCATATGAAATATTACATGATATAGACATGAAATCGACACCCTTAATGAAATTAACCCCATCCACCCAGTATGTTAAAGGTTCATTACAGATGATAAGTAATTATAAATCATAACATACGACCTCAGATAACATTCATTTATAAGATTTTAATTAGCAATATGCCCTTTTAATTTATACCAGAGAGGTGACGAAAAGTCGTAACTGTCAACTACTTGTGGATTTAATTTCCTTCAAAACTATTTATCATGGTTTTAACGGGCTAACAAGATAAATTAGCAACACACACGTTTAAACGAAGTGAATTACTGGACGGAGGATCATTCTAGCTTCGGCTGTTGGTAGAGCGAGGTCGCATCGTTAGTACCTAAAGCCATTGTATTCTTTACTTTAAATTTATCCCTCTACTGCTTAAAGAGACGGACAATTAATATCCTATGTATTTAGCTGATTAGGCTTTATGAAAAACTTACCACCTCGGGGTTTTCCGTTGCAATCTTTTTGTTGAGTGAAAGCTGTCTGATATGACAGATTGGAAGTGACGTATATTGATGGGTTTATTTAAGGATTCTTGTGCTCTTTATGATTAGAAGCGGTGGATATATTCTTCCGTTTTACTAACCTTTCCACAGTGTTGAACGTGGTTGTGGGAGGGAGCGCACATTAGTCGGGACTAATAGCAACGAATTCAGAAGGAGTAGCTGAAACAAGTTGATTGTCGTCATGGCTAAGATTTCTTTAATGTTCTTGCTCTCTCTTATGAGACAACAAGGTAATTGTTATTTTTCACAATTATTTCTTTTTGCATGGACCATTTAAATAACAAACGGGTCCACAGCAGTAGAAAGTGATGACCTTAACAAGCCTTTTGCAAATGGAATTTGGGCATCTAAATTATATAATCTGTGCTTGGCAAGCCAATAGTGGACAAAATGATCTGCTGTCTGCGTTGCCATATATTGCTTTTTGCCATCTAATTAGAGCTAGATTCTACTATCTTTCACTGCTCACCGGTCACTCATTTACCAACTACATTCTGTCGAGATAAGCACAAAACAGTAAAATAATTCTTAATTGGACTGCTACAGCAGTTACTAATGATGTGAAGGACCACTGTTGACTTAAGGTTCCCTGAATAGTACCCGTGTTGAACAGTTCACCCAAGTGTCTGTTCTTCCGGTTACAGCAAAAGATGGATTTTGTCAATACCTTTGGCTGCACCAATTCCTTACAATATATATGCGTGTCCATTCAAGGTTAACTATTCATTAAGGTAAAAATTTAAATTATTGCGCAAGGTAACGTACTCGTGCACACGCTATGATTCTCTTTTAAGTGTTGACATTTTTGTGCTGCGATATAAATGCAATGACCAGTGTCGTGCACATTGTAGGTAGGCTTCATTTTTCAGACAATTTACCCCTTGATGATAACCAGTAAATTTATTTTTTCACCGGCATACTTTATTCACATATACTAACACTTTTATAACCCTGCGCATCTAGTTCTAACAATTTTCTGAATAAAAGGGGCAGGAGATTACACCCCAATAGCGAGGTATGTTACCCTATTATTCTTTATGTGTAAACATTGGTAATATTACCAATTAACAACTCACTTTGTATTGTAACAGGGAAGCCACGGTGGCTAAGTAAGTAAGACGCTGGTCCGGTAGCCTGGAGGTCGCGGGTTCGATCCCGGTGTTGGCCGAAAAAGTTCATTTTCCGGTCTGTGGTGCAGGATGGAGGGCCTGACAAGGACAGCTGTCTAGTCGTTCGGATGAGACAAATAACCGAGGTCCCGTTGGAATTCGATATAAGAGTAGACGGTAGCAAATTTCCTCATAGGACACTGCATGGAGTATGCTAGTCTTCATTAGCCTAGTTGGAGCAGAACAGTTGGACGTTAAACCCCATTTGATTTCATCTGGCTTCCTTAATGCATCCGTATAAAAATTACCTTTTAGTTTACTAACTATCACCAGTGCTTGAAAACGATAAGAGAATACTTATCGAAACGTCGTGCTATATGCGTATAAACCAGTGATTGATTTCCATATAAATTATATTCCTTATTCAATTGAGAAGTTAGCTTAAAATTTAAGTTGAACTTGTCCCAAAATTAAGACACATATTTACTGAATTGTCAATGCTTGGCCCAGAATAAAATAGACTGGAATCAACTTAGTACCTTAAAATAAATGACTTGACATGACGAATGTGTACGAATAAATTTGTTGTTAGGGTTAAAAATAGTTGAGAAGATGTACGTTTGGCTTAGTGAAAACACGTTTTTAATGTTTAATTTTATGATGTACCACACATGGTGACAGATTAAAATGGATTTCCCACATCATCAACTTCTACATCTTATATCCTACACTGTACACTGAAAGTGTTAAATCAAGTGGCCAGACGTCTACAGACGTCTCGTCGCTTTTAATCACCGCCACTCTGCAGTCTCTGAGTCAGCACGCACCGCTTGTCCTTTTCTAACTGTGTCGGAGCAGCCAGAACTAACTGAAACTTTACTGCGCCGATTAGGATAATGACGACAAAATATTTAACTAAATTACTAAAGGTATCCAAGATGGTTTTAAAAACAACACGTTGAGATCGTGCCTGTTAATTTTTTCAAATAATGTGTTAAAGTGGCTAAGTGAGTAAGACGATGGCTCGCTAGCCTGGAGGTCGCGGGTTCGGCGTGGTTTCTCCTTGTCAGTGGTACCGGACGGGGGACTGACAAGGACATCTGTCTAGTCGTTTGAATGGGACGAAATACCAAAGTCCTGTGTACCCATTGGTGTGCACGTAAAAAATCCCTTGGCAGTTGGAAATCGCTATAAGAGTAGGCTGTAGTGCCGCTGTCCGGGAAAAATTACACCCATAGCACACTGCATGGCGTATGCCCTAAGCATTAAAATTGGCGCGATTAAGGATCATCGCATGTTATTAAAAAAGATGCATTCGGATAATGTTCGTGCAACAAACGACGACTATTGGCGTCAGACGTATGTCGCATTTGATTATTACCATCAAGTTAGGACAAATATGCCTCCGGAATACTTTTCAAAACTTAATTCCACAATACCGATGATAAATTGCCCATTATAAGCTACTACATTTCACAACCTTTGGTTATAATTGTGAACGAGTTTTCAGACGCATATGAAAAGAATAACTTTATATATTTTATATTCCCTTTTGGCGCCAGTGCAGACATTTATGCAGTGTTAGAAGTACATTAAAGTCATGTAAAACATCAGAGGCTAAAGCCACTGGCATGCATGTATCAGAATCGCCTAAATTGAAGTAAAGTGAATTGGGAAGCCCCCTTTTCTTTCATTATAGATGCAATGAGTGAGGGTTGCTGCGTATATTTGCGCTAACTAGAACACCCTATTCCACTTCTCAGATATTACTTTAAAAAACTGAAAACGGGCAAAGGCCTATGGAGGTTCTTTTCTAAGAATAAAAAATATATGTTGAAAAATATACATTAGCTGTTTGAAATAAGATAAATAATTTTTTGATAAATTGAACATATTTATATATTCGTGTGACAATGTTACATATGAAAAAATCAAAACACTTATTCTGTTATTATATCTTTAGTATAGATATTGGATCACAAAAAAAAGAAAAGAAATTTGTCTTAGTGTTTTTTTGTCTAGGTAATTAACTCCATGCGTTTTCACACGCATGTCTTGTCATGAATGACAAATTCGTAGATTAATTTTGACCCCTCAAAAAATTCAAGAATACGATATAACCGTGTATTATATGGGATTTAGCAGATGAGTGATAGATCACAATATATTAATACTGCTAAGCTGTCAAAGAAGTACACTGAATCCAAACGAGAAAAAGAATTCCAAAGGACAAATTCGAACAAATGTTAAAATTCTTGTAGGCTAATGACTTGTAATAATACTATATGTAGAAATACGTTCATACAAGATTAGGCTTAAACGACCATGGATAAAATCAAATTTCTCTGTTATTAAGAATGAATTCCCACGAAAGTATTTTTATGGCATATTTGGTATATATGCAGACGCGTGTCCAAAGGGGTGTCCGAGAGGCCTACACTCATCGAACAAACAAACGTGCGAAATATTGCCTCCGTGTTGGTCTCAATCCACTCCAAGCCTTGATATCGGAAATGCCGTCTCAGATCTTTTGATCTTATAAAATTCTCGGATAAATTAGTTCGAATATGTTTTTAGCCAAAATGCATCTTCACCAGAACGAATATTCTGCATATTAATAGTTGCTATTATTTAATGTTACTGTAGTAAGGGCGAATTTAAGTAGGGCTACTTTGTTTTTACGCATAACCTTCTCAGATCTTCTTAACTTAATTTCATTATATATGGCGAATGTCATTATGTATGGAGAGAAAAAGATTTAATAATAATATAAATTCCGGTGGCTATGAACACCAGTAGAGTCACCCGTCAAGTTATTACTTCTGTTGCAGTTTCAGAACAGTAGGACGTTAACCCCTATTTCATTTCATTTCTGTTTCAGTTTCTGTTACGTTATGCGTAATGTATTTTCTATTAACGTACGGCTTTGATCTCCAAATCATCACGATGAGAGCAATTGTGATTGATTGGGTAGTAAATCTTTGATGGAAAACAACAAATTGAATGTAATCTGTCAATCAAGAATATTTCATTGAAATTAGTTTGAAAACTCTGTAATTTGAAAAAGAAACGATAATAAACCCAGCAGTTTGATTTATACACCTAACTCCTATGACAGCAAGCGGGGTTGGATGGCCGAGTGCATACCACGCACATTATCTACTCTTAAAATACTATTAGGAACTTGACCAAATTATATTACGCTAATATTCCCAAATAACTAACTATATAATTTATTTTCAGATCCCTCCCACAAAGCACAGAACTACCACTGGAGTTATCTGGGAACGGAAGGTAATATACATTTTGTATAAATTGAAATGTTATAAAATAAATTTTCTGCACGATTAAATTCTGTCTGCCATTTTAAATATTTAAAAGAAGATGCATTGTGCAATTATTTCCATAGGTCACAGCTACATTCAAATTTCCAAACAAAACGAAAATAAGATGGTCTAGTTAATATAGGGTATGATAATTTTATCATATAATATGACGCAAATCCGGAAACCTTTTTGTGTTAAGTCAGCACCCTTGACACCATTTTATGAGTAGAGAGACAAGCTAACGGTTTAATTACAAACTAAAGTTATGTACTGTAATACTATTACATCTCTTTCGTGATTTCTTAAAATTTATTCCATAATTAATTATGCAGAGAGAAGTGAATATTTGTTTTTCACAATTTTTATAATTTCGACACTGTTAAATATAAGATTTATAGTAGTTTGTAGGATATACTTCCTTTTTGTTTGTTAATGGTATAAACACGATTATTTATATATTTGGGCTTTAAATGTTATAGTTATATAAGCCTATAATCAACTCTCCAGAAGATCGATGGTGAAGATTTAAACGGATCGAAATACTATCGTCATTTAATGATTTGATTTAAAAAAATGGCGATAATAAACAATCTGTGTCACATCTTGTCAAAACTTTAAACAGTGATAACTTAGCTCAGTGTAATGTAAATTGAATGAAATTTTCAATATATTCATTTAAAAAAATGGCGATAATAAACAATCTGTGTCACATCTTGTCAAAACTTTAAACAGTGATAACTTCGCTCAGTGTAATGTAAATTGAATGAAATTTTCAATATATTCATTTTGCATTATCTATTTCCGAACTATTATAACAAGAACTGTCAATTCTTTTTCTAAATCTTAAATAATGCATCTTTAATAATATAAATAAGGTTGTGGTTTAATAATAATATTGCAATAGCAAAGATTTATTAATAATCTAAACCGCATTTTTGTTCATTAATATTTTACAATAGTAAAGATTAATGACGTTCTTGTTTATTAATAATATTACAATAGTAACTATTAAAAACATTAAGTTTTAATCACAATGTTGATTGAATGAAAAGATAAGACTACGAAATTTAACAATTTTCTTCCTCAATATCTGAAAACCAAATTTATATTGATATGTTTAGTGATTTACGTTATGATTTAGTTACAAATAAAATCCATCGTTATGTTGCCATTATAGAGGAGAAACAAATGGTCCAAATATAAAATCCTGTGGTACGCCTCATTTCGGAATTGAAATATATGCAGCGGGAAGACTCAAATAACTTTCCGTGTGTGCCCTTTAGTAATATTGCTACATTTTCCACATTCGAGTTACATAATTTAGATATTTACTAGGAGTGGAGATAATTGGTACATAACTGCCAGTTTAAATATAGCAAATGGGACACTGTAGACGACGAGCAGCCTTCTGTGACAATTTTAATATCGCTAAATCATTTATATGTCATCTCTTGAGACATTCATAAACCACAAAAAAAATATAGCTTCCATTGTACTGGAATATATTGCTCATATTTTGGACGGACAGAGTTGTGGGCTCAAATATGGACGGAATAGGTTTAACGCTTTTATACACGTTTCGGCCCACTGTGATTTATAATTCTACCTGGCAATGCATCTGTTACGTGCACGCCATCATGTACACGGGACCTCGGTCTTTCGTCCCATTACAACTGGCAAGGGAAAAAGAAGCTAGAGCCCCGGGACCTCAATAACTTTCTGCTTTATAAAATTGATCGCTTTCTTTTGCTTACATATTTTGTTTAACTTCAGGTCCATCATCATGGCAGAAACATTATGAACACTGTGCAGGGAAGAGACAGTCACCTATAAACATCGATACCAATACCGTAGTATATGACGAGACGTTACAAGACTTTGATTTATCGGAGTTTCATCTTCTAAGGGGATCTCAACATCCTATGATAGTTAACGTCACCAACAATGGTCATTCTGGTTAGTTTTGTTTAGTTTTTTAGTTTTAAAAATAGTCTAACTTCGGAATCATATGCCAGTCGTCAGTCTTTTATAATAATAAATGCAGGAATATGGCACCTGCGGGCAAGACACACACTACTCAAAAATTGAAAGAAATTAGCAACAATTCGGGGTAAAAACTATTACTCGCTTTTCTTGTAATGGTATAAAACAATTTAAAGCTAGTTAACACTAAGGATTATTTGTCAAAAAGGAAAATTCCTAAATCCTTGAATGTTACAAATTGCGAAGTTCTGTAAATTAATCAGTTTGTTATCTAGCTTTTCGCCACCGGACTGACAATCTCCAAGAATTGCATATCACCGAAGAAACACTACTAGTTAATGATTAGTGGTACTCAATTGGATATTTAAAAGAACATTAATTTATGCAGTTTCAGCACGCTTTTTGGCCCAAGTTTAACATTTCTAATGTGTTTGTTTTACAGCAAGTGCAAGAGTTCCTGGCGAGATACATTGTAGTGGTGGAGGATTATCGGGAGCATATAGAACAGCTGAGTTTCATTTCCATTGGGGTTCTATTGATAACCGAGGATCTGAACATGGAATCAATGGTCGCGTTTATCCTTTAGAAGTAAGCATTTACCAGTATTCGACTATAGATGGATTTTAAGATTTTAATAAATGATAACACAATACTGATAACAATCAGTTGCTGATTAAGAATTTTACAATCTACCATGGAAATTCATCATGCACAGTATATCGGAAAGGTGGCATTGTTGATGGTCTTGGCTTTTTGTCTTCTGTCCAAGAACTGCACAAACGTATCATTTGAGGACATTATATAGATAACAAGCTTTTGTTCTTCTGTTGCATATGCCAGTCATCACATGGGATATTCAAAGGCATCTTTACAACTATTGATTACTATTGATTAAATCTGATTTAGGTTATCATAGTAATAACTATTTTAATTCTTACAGATGCACGTAGTTCAGTACGCAGTAAAATATGGTAGTCTTGCAAAGGCTAAGACAAAACCTGATGGGTTAGCTGTATTAGGTACTATGTATGAGGTAAGTCGTATTTCTCTTGTTATTATGTCTGTCATTGATGTAAGCAAGATACAAATAGTTTTGGTTATGGAGATTATAAAAATCATTCTGATTAAAATGAAATGGGGTTTAACGCCCTACTGTTCTGCATCGCCCTGGTTAACAAAGACGGGCTTACGTCATGAGTTTCCGGCTACTCAATGCAAAGTTCCAATTGTCAAGTGTTCTTTTTCGTGCATACCAACGTGTCCATGGTACCCGAATGACAAGAAGCTGTTATTTACCAGGACATCGTCCAGCACCACTGACATTTGATTAACCAGACTGAAAATTCTAGAGGAAGATTCTCGGCCAACATCGGGATCGAACATAAGATTTCCAGATTTGTGAGTCAACGCTTTACTAATTGGGCCTCTGCGACTCCCCTGGACAGAATGAGAAAAAGATATTGAAATAATTCAGTTAATTTGCAATAGATATTTTAAAAATTTCATTATTCTCTTCTTTGAAAATTTTCAGATTTCTGAACAAGATAACCCGTCCTTTGAGCCAGTCGTTGCGGCCTTAAAAAATATCAAACACGAAGGTACGTATTCATTCAAATCATATTGGGGTTCAAAAGACATTGTATGTCGACGAATACTTTACAGGCACACTGAAGAAACGCAGGGTCCCTGCAAACTATCGTGGGCAGATAAATTCGTTTATATATACCTGTTTAGTCTGGATGCGTAGGAATTGAGAGTGGGACGTTTTAATCAGGACACTAATTCCTTTTACAGGCAATGAAGACTCTATAACTAATCTAGACTTGAGAAACCTTTTACCTAAAGATTCCAGTAAATTCTACCGTTATGAAGGCAGTTTAACCACACCGCCGTGCTTTGAAAGTGTTATTTGGACCGTATTTGCTATACCCCAAAAGATATCAGCACCACAGGTATAGACTGCATTTTCTTTCATAATCTGAAGCTTGAGCATTGCTTGTTTAGTCGTTGTTAATGCAATCCCATAGACTTCATAATAAAGATATATTTAACATTAGTGGCTAAGTAATTAGGACGCTGGCTCGCTAGCCTGGAGGCCGCGGGTTCGCTCCCGGTGTTGGCAGTTGGAATGCGATATAAGAGTAGACAATAGCACCGCTGTCCGGGTAAAATGTCCCTCATGGCGTATGACCGTCTTCATTAGTTCCCAATTTGTTTTTGGACCAGCAACTGGGTCCAAAACGTTGCAGATCTTGTTGTTCTTCTTGAGAGCCACGCTCTTCGAAAAAAGCCCAAGGCTCAGCCAATTCAAGTATGAGACTTTGCATGTTTGTTCCTTGGACAATTACACATCAATTGACGGACTTCTATAATCGCGTAAGTGTGCTTGCCACATTACAAATTATTCCAATTCAATACACTATTTTGACCTAAATTAAAGAGAATTTATTCTGTTTTCTGTTTAATAAATACTGCTTTGTAATGTCGTTGTTCATTTATGGAAATAAATGTTATTTTTTAAACAAATCCTTAATCTATAATTTCAGCTTGCCGTACTACGATCACTGTTTCTTGAGGCTCATGGCGATGCTGGGTTGAAACCGACTGATGGCCACAGTCACACTGTTAATGTCCAAAGTCAGCCTGGTAGTTCTACAACAAATTCTGTTAAATATTTAGTAGATAATTTTCGCCCCTTTCAAGTTCTTAATGGACGAGTGGTGAAGAAAAGCTTCAAAGAGTTACATCCCATCTCAAATACTGCACCAACTACTAGTCTCACACAAGCAGATATCAAACAAGTTAACACAGCAATGGAATCGAGCCACCCTGTTGGCAGTTCACCCAGCAACAACATAGGTAACTTCAATCTTGAAAATGGACACAAAACAATATTATCCGGAGCGAATGCTGTGCCAGGATTTAACGCAGCTAGTGACACCAAGGCCGCGGCAACTCGTACACAGATCTCGGTGCCTGAACAGCAGCTAACATCAATTAAACTTGGTAGTGCTAACGAGGCAATCCGACAGTCTAAAGCTGGCCTCAGTTCAATCGTCAATGAGTCACCACCACCCGCCTCCACACCTCCTCCACAACCAACAACTCTCCAAACAACACAAGCAATGGCAACGCATATCAACACTGTTAGCGAACCTACTGTGTCGATACCACCGCGAGAAGTACCAATCAACCCCATTCGATCACCAGCTTGGCTTCCGAAAGGAGCTGTTCCAGTACAGTCAAGTTCTACATTTCCACCTTCTAACACCGCTAATCTTCAGATAACTGGACAATTACCATACGAACAGGCGCAACAACCACAAAATAATCAACCTATACAAACACAAATACCGATCAGTACACCAAAAATAACCCAAGAACAACAAAAACAAGTTCCAAATGATCAATCTTATCGGCAGCTACAACAAAATCTCCAAGGTCAATTTCCATCAAATGCTCAATTCAGTTATCAACCAGAGACTCAAGCACTGATTCAACCCCAAACCCAGCATCAAACTCAGACAAATCATCAACCCCAGCAAAATCCGCAAAAGCACCAATCGCAGCAACAGCATCAACCCCAGTCACAGCCTCAAACCCAACACCAGGCACCACGACAAACACAACAACCACAGCCACAACAACCAACAATATACCAATATCAACGACAGGTACAACCAGCTGTTCATACACAGACAATATATAAACCAAATATAGCTCCACCAGCAAATACAAAACAACAAACCCAACATCAACCGAGTCAGTTTACCCAACCACAGCAGCAAGTAAGACCTCAGCAAGCAATTAGAACTCAACCCCAACAACATCAAATTGTCTATCAACCCCAACAACAACCTCCCCAACAACAACAACAGACTGTTTATCAGCCCCAACAACAACAGACTGTTTATCAGCCCCAACAACAACATACTGTTTATCAGCCCCAACAACAACAACCCCAACCACAAGCCTATCAAGCCCAAACCCATCAGGCTGTTTATCAACCACATCAGCAAGTTCAACAACAGGGTTTTCAACCCCAATCTCCGCAACAAGTGGTTTATCATCCACCCCAGCCACAACGGGCAGCTGTGTATGTACCGCAACCTCAGAATCAAGGCTACATCCAGGCCCAGACTCCACAATATGTTTACCAACCACAACAAAAACAAAGAAACGCCCAGCAAGTGTACGTTCCACAACAACAACCACCACCACAACCACAGTCACAGCCACAACCACAATACGTGTACCATGCACCAACTGTGCAACACTCGTACAAACCACAACCAAATGCACAGAACACATATCAACCACAACAACCTAAGCTACAACGTCAGGTTTATAAACCCCCACAACCATTCTTCCCAGGACAAACTCGTCCAGCATCACAAATTATAAATCAACATAACACAAACTATGATAGAGGAACAATGGTCCAGTCTCTGAGGAGGGCTGAACCTGCAGGGGCCTCTACCCCTAACCCCTCTAGAACAGCTAATGAAGATTCGCCGTTTGTTGTGATAAAGCCAATACGGACGCCTGTTAGAGTGCGGACTGAATACGCCCAAGGAATGTATAATGGTCATAATGCCCCGAACTATTCGCCTTTAGATTCCGTTATTCGTTCAGTGGGTTTAAATTCCATGACGAGTGAGATACGTTAAGTCAAATGTACATTCAGCGTGATTCAAGAGAAATCTGACTCTGTCCCCCGAACAGATAAAGCTGGATCTTCAGCAGAAGAAGAGAACGTAGGAGCATCAAATCAGTAGTGTCTGATAATGTACTTATCCTGGTGTAGCATTATTAGTGGTCTAATTTAATCCTGAATTATATTATACAGATTTTGCCATGTACACTTGTAATTGATGGAAGTGGAGAACTATAGGCGGGTGTGTTTTATTTGTTCGGTGTAAAATACGTTTAAACGAACGTTAACGAATACGAAGAAAAAATGTGGATAATTTATAAACTGATATGAACTAATATATTATCAGACTGACCACCGTGGTCCTATGCTGTAAATATGTAAATATTCCCAGAGACACGATTCTTTATTTTTAAGATTCTTTAACTGGTGTTGTCAAATAAAAATGAAACAATAAGCCATTGATTTTGTGTACTTGATTGACGTCGATTGATTATTACAATTGAATAATAAATTAACGTGAATCGACCAATATCTGTGTCTAATCGTTCCGGTGGTATGATAAAACGAGATATCTCCAACAACAAATGAAATGAAATGGAGTTTAACGTCCTACTGTTCTGCTCCTATACTGGGCTAATGAAGGCGGGCATACGCCATACAGTGTGCTATGAGGGAAATTTTGCCCGGGCAGCGGCACTATCGCCTACACCTATTTCGAATTCCAACTGCCAAGGGATCTTTTACGTGCATTCCAATGTTTTTCGTATCATCCGATGGACTAGACAGCTGTCATTGTCAGGCCCTCCGTCCTGCATCACTGACAAGGGGGAACCACGCCGGAAAATCTGGATGAACTTTCTCGGCCAATGCAGGGATCGAACACCCGACCTCCAGGCTTACCCACTTACCCACGTGATCCCCTCTCCAACAACAAAGCCCATATCGTGGTTCATAGTAATATAATAAAAAGCGTATCCCATACTAAACTTTACCAATGGCCAAATGTGGATAATCAGCAGAGGGAACATGTTCTTCCCTGTAACCATGTATTAAAACTATATCCAGCCATAAATCGTGATTAATCCTCGGTTAATTCATCTTACGGTGAGATCCGCCCATTCCTGTCTTTATAGATTGATAATCTCTACTACCCGAATTAACGTCAATCTAAAGAATGCGATTGTGGTGTCTCATCGGGGCTGACAAATGATTATCTCAAATAGCAAATCATTTAGAGATTACCAACTAAAATCACCATTTATCAGATACTATATGAGATCGTGGTGTGAAATCGGGGCTGACGGTTGATTATTTCAAAAAGCAAATCATTTTCGAGATTACCAATCAAAATCACCATTTATCAGATACTTTATGAGAGAGGGGGGTGGGATTTAACGTTCACTCGACACAAACTGGGTTGTTCCCGGAAAAACATGGTCGGGGGAAACTGAGGGACCCAGAAAAATCCAACAAAGGTGGACAGATGAACACTCTCCTTGTCACGTACAAGCCTGGAATTTAAACCACGCCACTTGACTCAATGACAGATTGTATGAACTAGAACACACGCATTAGACCATGTCCCGCTCCCCGACCCTTTGATACTATATAACACATTGGACGGTCTGGTGGTATTTATGAAAATAGTCGAGGACACAAACAAAGGGGGTTCCTGGATTAGTCTTAACAGTATATTCAGCAAGTTTGAGTTACCATTTATCCAGTTATCTATGGAATTCAATTCAATTCAATTCAATGTTACTTGCATAATAAAGATACGTTACAGATTTTAGATTGCAGTTGTCGATTCAGAAAAATAAAGTTTGTGTTGTTGCTGATTTTGGACAAGTTTTACTCGTAACTGTGCGATAATGCTGTTGGAGAACAAACTTTCACATTGACCCGGTCTTTCTATAGTCATAATTAACTACACGGTTTCTATGGTAAGATTGTACATAATATAAACATCGTGTCTAATTAATCGGGGCTAAATGATAAGGTGTTGGTCGAGAATGTTTCTCATGGGTATCCTCTTTCGGCGCGGTTTCCCTTGTCAGTGATACATATGACAGAGAGTTCGGATGGGACAAAAAAACGAGGTCCAGTGTACACATTGGCGTGTACGTAAAACAACCCTTGACAGTTGGACTTCGATAGAAGAGTAGGTCGTAGTGCCGCTGTCCGTGTAAAAAAAAATCCCTCATAACACACTGCGTGACATATGCCCATCGCCATTAGCCTAGTCGGTGCAGAAAGTTAGGACGCTAGATCTCAATAACGGATTTTTTTTTTATTGGAAAACTTTCATGCCATTAGGATTAAATCTATTGCCCGCATGCTGTCCGGGATAAATTTAAGTACGATGGAAATTGCTAGAACTTTTGTTGTCCTGATCGTTTCGTTAGACACTACGCATTGGGCATGTTCAAATTAAATTAGATATAAAAGCCATATTCTCTTATAATAATAGCCCAAAAGTGACCTTTCTGAATAGGTAATATAAAAACCATCTCACACCAAGCACTAAAATATATTATATCAATTTTACTTCACATTACAATAAAACCTTACTATTATAATTAAAGAGGCCTTCCCGCGTACAAACTGTGTGATTTGTGGATATATTTGGACTAAATACAGATTCAAACTAATTAATTTATCAAAAATTTGCTTCAAATCCCCCAGCTATAAAAGGTCTTCTTTAGAAACCTTGTTTCTCACCTAACTTGATTGAGGGAGGGCCCATTTTTCAGAATGTGTTTGTCATTACTTACTGTCCATTTATCATACATCCATACATATTGTTTAATTGCAGAGTCTGTTATACGTTTACACCTCTCATTGTTCTCCAAAACGCCTGACCATCGATCATAAAATAACAACTGCTCCCTAAGTCAAGTTGTTAGTGATAACCTGACATTTTTCCCAGTACTTGCCCCATGGTAGGTTTTCGGGATTCCGGTATTTTTCTCGTAAGATTGCCGTCTACACTTTCCATATATACTAAATTTGCCATACTTTTATTGGAAATAAACACTCGATAAATACTTTCGTGGGAATGTATCTTTAATGTCATTGAATGTCTTTATGCTGCTAGATTATTTTAAACGAAATGAAATGGCGTTTGACACATCCTTCTTTTGCTGCTCCAGTCCGGACATGGGAGTAGCCATCTTATAATGTTCGCCGAATTCCACCTGTCAATGGTTCTTTTTGTGCACACAAACGTGCAGGACCTCGATTTTCCACCCATTCGGACATCACTGACAAAATGATTTCACACTGGAACTTTCTCAACCAATACTTGATATTACGCTAGCGCCTTACTCACTGAGCCATAGTGGCTCTATTTTCTCAAAACACGTTAGATATTTCGAAAAAGCTATAATACATGATACTAAAATAGCCTGAGAAAACCCATGCCTTATATGGTAATCAAATATTGTTCAAGCACGCCCCACATCCCATGAATGTGAATTCTTTATGGAGTTGATCGTAAATTTATCATGATATATCTAAAACAACGGCTAATACGACATTAAACGACACTTTTCTAACGTCTCGTACTATAGTTTTAATATTTGTCCTCAAAATGTCAAACGAGAACATAAGCGATATGTTGTAATTCTTACAAAACATTTACGATGGACAGTTATAGAAGTCGTTAGTATTTATGTTTCTCAATATCACGCATTTTCTTTTATATTGCTTCATTCATACATAGTAGGCCCCTGATGGCCTAATTAGAAATTCTAGCTACCATCAAATCACAGTCGTAATGTTTCACGCCAAAGCCATTCAAAATGTAGGGATATATCAAAAAAAAGACAAAAAAACCGTTAAAAACTTTAGCCCAATCTCGTTCACAAGGTTTTCGAAAAAGTGGGCTGCCGTAACGGAAGATAGCAGAATCAGTAGTCCGTGACCTTTCATGGCTCCTTAGCTGAATACTTTGTGAATGCGATAGCGACTACATTTTGTAACAGATTATTTTCAGATTTGGTATGAAGCATTGGGTTGGCAAGAGGACGAACCGTGTCGATATTCAGCGCTACGCAACCTCCCGTACTGGAGTTACCTGCCTTTGCCAAAAACTTGAGTTTCTAACATATTATTTGTCCAAATTCGAAATGAAGCATTGACACAACGAGAGGATGAGCCCTGTGGGTTTTCGCAGTTCCCCGTCGATCTCTTGCAAAATAGGGGCGTATCTGGCATGACAAAAGCTCGTTTATTTGTACTCTGACCTGGATTTTAAAACATTAATTCTATTTTGAGATTTCAAAATCTGTCATTGAAATTTGACATTATTGTTGGGAATTTTTATTTAATGCTTTATGTATATAACTCATACGATAACGACAATAGTTTCATAGTGTCAAGTTATCTCGGGTTAGACTTCATCCGTAAAGTAGGTCAGATTGACATATTGTACGCTGTAAGCATAAATTTTAATAAAATGAAATAAGGATTAACTATTGTTCTGCTATGAGGGGAATTTTGCCCGGACAGCGGCGCTACGATCTACGCTTCCACGTGACAAGGGATCTTTTACGTGCACGCCAATGTGTACTGGGGACCTCGGTTTTTCGTTCCATCCGAACGACCACAGGGCTGTCCTTGTCAGGCCCTCGACCCTGCACCACTGACACGAGTAAACCACGACGGAAAATCCAGATGAACTTTCTCTGTCAATACCGGGGTCGAACCCGCGACCTCCAGGCTGGCAAGCCAGCGTCTTACTCACTTAGCCACCGTGCAAACGATATAAACGTTATATGGCTAAAACAGTCCAGCCCCACCTTCGTAATCAGGGCCGTAACTAGCTCAGAGCAACAAGTGGGGTGGGAAGTGTTCTCAGGGATGCTGTAAAATTGACGGACACTGTTATCTATTGTTTTTATGGTCGACAATTTTTTCACCGGGGGGGGGAGCCCCCTGCGCCCCCTAGCTACGGGCCTGTTCGTAATCCGATTGAATCCATCACGGTAGATTTCTATCACTGAAATCCTTGAAAAATAAGGTTTTGTCCTAAAAATGCAAATAATGATTCGTAAGGTTAGTTGAAAGAATATCTATAAAACTTGTATGAATTAAAGACTTTCCTCGCACCCGGAAGATGATAGTACAACAATCCTTGGAAAAGACATGCAGTGATGTTTTTGTTTAATATGAACATGTATTTGTCCTTGGGGTGAGGGTTGTCTGGAGGCAGACGTTAAACGATGGCTATTGAGAGTTTTATTTGATTTGTTGGTAATAGCCTTAACAATTCTTGGTAATGGCGTATTATATCTTACATTAACGTCATTAAGTGACAGTTTGTTTCCAAATTCTGAAAAAAAAATCAGATGTCAATTGCGTTTTCAATGCGGAACTGTAGTTAAAT